AAACCCAAAACTATAAATGAAGTATCGAAAAACTAATTTTTTTATTTAAATTTTAAATATCAAGAAATCGATTGATATCGACAACATAAGCCTTTTTGAAACTATTGAATACGAACTATCACTTTTTCAACAGAATTTATAAGATTCCTTTTAATACACATGTTTGTTTGAAATTATTGAAAAAATATTGAAAATAAGATTTTTGGGTTATCTGGAAAAAATTAATGTTTTATATAGTTGTCAGTACGGTTTTAGAGAATCTAGTGTCTCAGAATCTGCTGCATTTTGTTAGGTTTTCCCCGTGGATTGACAATAATTGACTACACTGAACAATAATCAAACTTGTCTTTATTTTACTTTAAATACAACATACACTTCAACTATTATGCGAATGTCTATCGCCTTACTAGATCCTTCCGCGTACCGCACTGTAACTTCCGCTTGACTGTCTCGTTGGGCAAGTGGATTGCTCTTATATTTGGCAATAGAAGGCGCATCGCATCGGTGCATCGAAACGGTGTAAACAGCCGCGAAATGTCGGTCGAACTGAGCGCGCTCTTAGCCACGTCACAATTGGTTTATGACTACCAGTGGCGGCTGGCGTTAATTTCCTCAGGGCATGATTTACAACAGTGTATAATATTGCAAACCAGAACAATCTTGTGTCTCTCAATACGACCATGGAATGCAGGAGAATTGCTTGCAATTATTGGAACTGGTACAGAACTCTAAAATATTAAATACTTTCGAAAGTCTGGAAATAGCAGAATGCAACATCAGATCTACGAATTGTGAGAAAAGTTCCAATCCAATTGGTCAATCTTCCATGAACTAAAATTAGGGGAAACATTCCCGGAAAATTTCTCAATTCTTTTTACTTCAAAATCATTGTATTGTGGAAGTGGGGGTAACCCTGTTGAATATAAATAGGTAAAATTATTGTTTGGGATTTAGTATAGTTCCTTTTTATAATAACCTCAAGTTGGCTGATAAAATAGGCAGAGAGTTGCAGTTCTGGTGTGTGGTATAAGTGTTTTCGTTGGATTCATTCTACTTAAGAGGTTCCAATTCTATCTTTCAAAATAAATTGTAATTTATACACTATAAACAATGTTACATTTTCTCTAGGATGAGTGTGTCAATCCTCGAGCTGTTACTGATATTCAAGCTGTTGTGGAAGCCAATCAACAGAGAATGTCTATGGATCCCTACGAATCAATGATGGTCAACCTGGGTTATAGTATATACGGCAGAAGTGTGGATCAGGTGCAAAGCGAAGTAGTTCCCCCTTGTCGAACTTGTTGATTTTTTCTTTGTAAATATGTTATCTGGATCATTCTATATTTTATTTATTTTAGCAGATCTCTTTATCTAACATAAATACTTTTTTTATTGAAAATAAATTCTATATACATATTTCTCTGTGTCTGTGAACCCATTATCTAACTTTCTTATAAGTCCAGTGAATGATCGCAATATTAACAGTCTTTCAAAACTGTCATATTTCATACTAAAGGTATACAAAATTCACTAGTGAAACAAAAGGATACCTGAATTGTTAGTTACACAATAAGTTAACAGATCGATAGAATAGAGTTTTATTCATCATAAAATTCACATGATTACCATTATAATAATATAAATTCACCAAAATTGCCAAAAATGTGTCTTGAAAATACTAAAACAAACACTTTATTACATTCTGTAATACACTATTGAATGAAAATGGTCAAACATTCAATTAGCATTACATTCAAAATTAAATTCAATCAGTAGCTTCAATAGATTTGTTGGCGATGTGTTAATGAGGATTGAAATGAAGAGACTTATTTTTTCATACAAACAGCATATGTCATTTTTCTTGTGTTTACTGTTAGACCATTTTCTTGATAGTACTCGCCAAGTTCAATGGAAGCTTTATTACAGTTCTTTATGAATTGTTCACATTGATGATGTGAATAAAATAAATTTGTATCAACTGCATATATGATTCATTCAGTTTTGTTATTATCATGATGAAAAAACTACTGAAGTACTACTACAGGGGTTTTTTGTCATTGAGTTCCCTACAGATAAAGTCTAATTCATCTGCTATTGCACTAAGGATATATTTAATTTTCCTGGATCTGTTTTGGATATAGTCAATTTAGAAATTTTGTCAAAATAGACTGAGTATGAGATGTGAACTAATTATTGGTAAATTGGAACAAAAAAAAGGTTTATATAACTGAGAAATATTTCTTGAAGTGTACAGCTTGAGATTCATCTCTTATGAAAATGGTGATTCATAAAATGAACAAGAAAATTCAAGTTTATAAAATTTAATTATGGTAAAGATTCAATGACACTTCATATTGTAATGCTTCATTTTCCTGCATCAGTTCGGACTTCCATTGTTTAATATGATATAAATTGATTTGAAATTCCTGAAAGAATCTGTAAGAAATT